CTCTTGTTAACAAGTGAGAATGAAAAATATTTTATGTTTCTTTGCTATTCGTATTTCATCTTTTATAAATTGCTTTTTCACTGTTTCCCATATTTCTATTGAGGAATGCCTCTTTGGCCTGCTGGTTTATAAGATACCTTTGTACATATGAGTATTAACTTTTTTGTGTGTGTGGCAGCTGGCGGGTACAGGGATCAAATCCCAGATCTTGGTGTTATCAACACCACACTCTAACCAACTGGGTTAACCAGCCAGCCCAACAGTATTAATTTTCTGTCATATATGCTTCAAGTATTTTTCTTAATTTCTCAAATATCTTTCCATTGTGTTTTATAATACAGAAATTTGTTTTCATTTTTATGTGGTCAATCTAGAAACCAGTACAGCAACTAATTAGACATCTGGACTTTAAAGTCAGAACTTTAAACTTTTAAAGTCAGGACTTTAAAAACCTGTCTCAGATACTTATTAGATGCATAACCATGGGCAAATCACTTAACTTCTCTGAGACTCAGTTTCCCTATCTGTAAAATAGAGATATCACCACATAACCACACAGCATTTTTATGAAGATTACCTACATCCATCCATCCATTCATTCATTCATTTATAGTTTCCCACATTTGCTGGGAACTAATAAGCATTCATTAACAGTTGCTGTTACTATTATCATTAATGGCCATTGCATTTTAAATTTTGACAGCAGTTCTCAGATTTAAGTGTGCATAAAAATCACCTGAGACCTTTACTTTATCAGCACCGCACTCTCCTGAGTGAGCCACAAGCTGGCCCAAGAGACCTTTACTTTAAAAATCTACATTACTAGGCTTCATTCCCAGAGGTTTTGATTATGTAGGTCCAGAATGGGGCCCTAAAATATACATTTCTAACAAGCATCCTCAAGTGATTCTGATGCAGGCAGTCCAGAAGCACCCCTAAAACAATACCTATTTATGCATTCTGCCTTTGGTGATATACATGAAATATTCTTCCATACCCCAGAATTAAATACTGACTCTATCTTCTCCTTTATTCTTATGGGTACTTTTTAAATATTTAATCCATCTAAAATGTATTTATTATATGGTTGACTAATTGTCTGAACACAATTTGTTGGAATAATCACACGTTTCCCTTCTGTTATGAAAAATATCTCCTTTACCACCAGGAAACTATTACTATAGTTTCCATTGTTTTTACCGTATGTTTTAATAACTGGTAATGAAAATCCCCTCATTATTTTTTGTTTTTCAAACTTTTCTTGTTCACAATCTTGCCTACTTGATTGCACAAGTTTTTTCTGTGCTCAATAAATATTTATTCACTTAATAGAGGCAGTAGACTTTACAAATACAAACGAACTTCATAGGCTTCCAGTCAAGACGGTGGAATAAGATGGTCACCAGCCTCACTCTCCCCCACAAATCAACCAATTTACAACTATTAAAAAGCAACAACAGGGCCGGCCCGGTGGCGCACTGGATAAGTGTGCCGCTTAGGAAGCGCGGCGGCGCTCCTGCCCGAGGGTTCGGATCCCACATACAGACCGGTTCCCGCTCACTGGCTGAGCGAGGCGCGGGAGCAACATCGAGGGTTGCAATCCCGTTGCCGGTCCCCGGTCCGGTACGGGGGCAACACTGAGGGTTGCGATCCGTTGCTGGACACGGAAAAAGACAAAAGACAAAAAAAAAAAAAGCAACAACAACCAAGCTGGGGCCGCTAGAGCTCAGGAGAAGAGGAGGAGAGATCTACGAAGTGCATGAATGCAGGAGAAGCCACAATGAGAAAAACAAAGAACCACTTCAACGGTTTCAAATCCCAGCTGCTTCAAGGCTGGAGCTGGTGAGCACACGGAACAAGAGCTGGCAAAAGCCGCAGCTGTGCCCTTTGGATGAAGTTGCTTGGAGGTGGCAGGGGAGGGCTTTGGTGGCCCCCAGAGCAGGAAGACTACTAATAGGGTTCCCATGGACCCACATAGGAGGAGCCACACAACTGAAAAAAAGGAGCCACTCAGAGGCCAGTGAGTCATCGCAAGGGACCGGCACAGGGCCAGCCCCATGGAAAGTGTTTGGAGTGGGGATGGTGGGGAGATGGGCCCACCAGGGGAACACTGGGGCACAGCAAGGACAGCTGATCTGCCCCCCAATCAGCACAGGCCCACTCAGTGGAGACTGGTCAGGAATATAGAACTGCACGAGGAGCAGTTTGCTGAAAAGACTCAGGCCCAGACCAGTTTCTACACAACCCAGATGTACTGGATCTCACGAGAGCCAGAAGTACCTATAAAGTCAACCATTAAGACCTGAGCTGCACAAAAAGCCTTCCCCAGGGAATCAGCAGCAAAGCAGCAATTTAGCTCAACTACAGGGCTCAAGTACTGGTCCCCACAGGAAGTTCCCCCATTTTAGAAGTAAGCAAAGAACAACAAATTAGTTCCAGTGCAGAGTTTAACTGGCAGGAATAGCAAATAATCCAACACAGAACTGGAAGAACAAACAAAATACCCACAGACCAGAGACAGAATTTGAGGTTAACTAGTAAAGGTCTCACATCACCAAAGAACACCTATAAAAACTAGAAGAACCAGAATTCCCCTGGGCTACCAAGTCAGGGAGGAGAGAGGTCTGGGGGCCACAGCCATGGCCCCCGACACCTGCAACTAGTCCAGTGACGAAAACTAAGCTGCTGCAGGAAGCACCCCAGGCTCTCCTGAGCTGGGGCAGTGGGGGGCTGAGGGCCTCATCCATGCCCCCCCACACCTGCAATCAGCCCAGAAACAACCACCCAGCTGCTGCAGGAAGAGCCCCTGGCTTTCCCAAGCCAGGACAGTGGGAGGCCGAGGGCCCTGGCCACTCCCTGACACCTGCAACCAGTGCGGGAAGCACCCCGGGCTCCCCTGAGCAGGGCAGTGGGGGGCCTGAGCCATGCCCCCACAATACCTACAACCAGCCCAGTAACAACCACCAAGCCACTGTAGGAAGTACCCTAGACTCTCCCGAGCCAAGGCAGTGGGGGGCCGAGGGCCTCAGCCACACACACCCCCAACACCTGCAACCAGCCCAGCAACAACCACAGAGGCACCACAGGAAGCACCCCAGGCTCCTGAGCAGGGGCAGTGGGGAGGGCAAGGGCTTCAGCCACAATCCCCTGACATCTGCTCCCAACCCGGTAATGACCAAGACACTGCTGGAAGCCCCCTGGTCTCCCCTGCAGGAATGAAGGGAGTCCCCACAGGCCTCAACCATGCTCCTCCTCCTTCCTCCTTTTCCCACTCTACTTCCTTCCCCCTTCCTCTTCCCCCTCCCCCACAACAGCTCTGCAACATCATAGAATGTAAAAAAATAATATTAATAAATAAATAAACTTTAAAACAAAATGAACTTCATAGTAATTCTGCCAAAGTCTCATTGACACTTTGCTTGGAATTACATTAAAAATTTGAAATTAATGTAGAAACAAGTAATGTCTCTCCATTTCTTCAAGTCTTTATTTTAATATTTAAGTATATTTCCTTCATAAAGACTGCCTGCATTTCTTAATAAATTTATTCCTTGGTGTTTCATACTTTGCTTCTAGAAGAGAGGTAGTTTAGAGTTTGAACTTTCAACTCAGATTGCTTAGGATCTAATCCAAGCTCCAGCCCTTCCTACCCGTGTGAGTGACCTTGAACAAGTCACTTAACCTTTCCAAGCTTCAGTTTCTTATCATCAAATAAACTGAAATAATATCTACCTAATACTACTGTTATGAGAAGAAAATGAGATAATATATGTGAAATGGTTTACACAGAGACTAGCAGAGAGGAAATGTTCAATAAATGTTAGTCAGTATTATTAATATTAACATTGAGACCATTTCTAATTATATTTTCTAACTAATTATTCATGGTTTGCAGAAAAGTTGCTGATACTTTCTAATTTATCTGGTGTCCAAACATATCCCCTGAACTTTCTATTACTAACAGCTTTTCAGTTAATTCTCTGAATGGGAAAAACATTAGCTACTTAAAATCAAATAAAGAAGAAATCAAAATAGATAATAGATTTGACAACAAAAAAAGTTTCTTATTATAAAAAAATTAAAAGACAGATGAATAAGAAAAATTTTCAAGCAGTGAATATAAGAAGTCAATTTAAATGTCATCTTGTCCTCAAGAGAGAATTACTTAATAACTGCTGAAACAAATGATTGGTTATGTAGAAAACATTTAAACTGGATCCTCAATTTAAACCATATGCCAATATAAATACCAGAAAAAACAAAGAAAGTTAAAACCAAACCTTAAAATTCTAGAAACTACACTTAGCAGCATTGTTTATAAAGGAAAAAAAGCTGAAAGTAACTAAAATGTCATTGAAATAACTGTCATTTTAGGAAAATTTACTGATTATATGTATTGTTTATTGTCTGGCTCCCACCCTGCCTCCAGCCCACACTAGAATGTAAGCTCCACAAGAGCAGGGACTTGTTTTCTGTTTTCCTCACTGATGTTTTCCAAGAGCCTATGCCTGGCACAAAGTAGCAATCAATAAATATTTGCTGAAAGAATTGTCCATCGACAGGGGAATGAATATAGTATATCCACATAATAGAATACTATAAAGCAGCAAAAACGAACCACAATTACATACATCACCATAAATCACTCTCAGAAACACAATACTGAATGAAAAATAAAAGTTTCAGAAGAATACATAACGGTATTCTACATACGGTAAATGTAAAATTATAAAAAGTAAATATATAGTGTTTAAGGTAGTTTTCCAACAGTACACCTCAAATGGGGCAATTATGGCTTTATCTTGAAAAACATAATAATTAGGAAAATACATTTATTATATAACTCACAAAAGTCAGTCTCTTACTTTAATAAGCACTACTTGGTGATTATTTAAAACAGACCCCAAAAAACTTCCATTATCAACTCACTTGAAAAAAGAGAACAGAAGTCCAACTGCAAAATAAAATATTCAACAGTGGTAAAGTAAAGCCAAACATACCTATAAGTTCAGGTGGGTTTCTTTCATTAAACCGCTCACACAGACGAATAAATGTCTCAGTATTCTCAGTTGTAGGACATTCACCATGTCTAGTAATATGGAAAAAAATTTTTTGAGAAAAGAAGAGATTAGAAATTTCAATGAAAGGTTTCAGTATTAAAGAGTCTTATGGGCTGGCCTGTTAGCTCAATTGGTTAGCGTGTGGTGCTGATAACACTGAGGTGCAGGGTTTGATCCGTGTACTAGCCAGCCACCAAAAAAAAAAAAAGAAAAAAAGAAAACTTACCCTTTACACTGAAGTTTTATATATTTGATTCCTTCTTTTTCTATGTCATTTCTGTCATAGAACCTTGAAGTATTTGTCAGGTCCACCAACAAGCCCATTTTAACCTTAAAAAAAAAAAAAAAAAATAGAAAGGAAGAAAGAAAAAAGGGCAGACTTGCCAGTAACTGAATTTGTTCCAAAAGAAGTTGACTAAATAGCAATACTACATTTCATCCATCTATATTGAGGGAGATTTTATGTACACTCTGCCAATGAACGATCAACAATGGAAATACCACTTATCCAAGCCTTATTCAAGACACTAGGACTTAGCAGCCACTCGATGAAATAACTTAACCACCAAACTATTGAAGAATAGGAACATAAGCAAAACAGACTCCACTACCAAATCACAAAAATCTACCCCAAAATGAAAACACTACCAAACTGTACTTTTCTGCATCTACCTCTGCACCTATGATTTATTAGACTAGAAGCTGGAGCAGAGATAGCATCTACTTGAAATATACCACAGCTCAAGCTCCAGGCACACATCACCCCAGCATTCCAAGCAGCCACACACCAATCACTCTGTTAGATCTATTACCAGCAGCACACTATATCCCAGGCTTAGGAGATGAGACTAGCCTTTTATGCCATAAATATATATACATATACATATACACAAACAGACACATATATATCCCTTTCCATTTGATTAATAACCCTTCTATTTTCTGAAAATACACTAAAGCCTAAATTTATATTTGTTGAAAAGGTTAAAAATAAAGAGACTCTTTTCTGCCTGTGTCCCCTGGTCTAATTAATTAATTGATCCACTGAATCACTCCTTCACGGATTCATAGATTGATTTTTAACTAGGTGGTTAGTTATTTTGTTCATTCATCTAACAAGTCTTTTTGAGTTTTGGCAGCTGGCCAGAAGAAATGAAGAGATACTCTTAGTAAGAAGATGGCAGTATGAGACAGCAATTTCCTCTTCTCTTCCTGGATATCATGCAAAAACAAGGTAAATGATAAAAAAAAAAAAATCTCATTTTCAGTGAAACTAAGAGCATATAGAATTCACACATAGATAAAAAATATGTTTAAGTTCTGCTAAAAGAAATTAGGAGCACTGCAGAAGCTATGTGGGAAGGAAGAAAAGAGAAGCAGACCCGAGGATGACAGATTTTAGAAAATGCCAACAAAAATACATTTCCTGTAAATAAGAGCTTACCCTGAAGTGGTAGACCTATCTCTTACCTGCACAAGAGCTAAGAGACGACCAGGCAGATTACACGGAAGTAGAAGTAATGTAAGGGAGGAAAGGCAACGAAGATGCACAAAAATAGTAAAAATGACCCAGTATTGGTAAACCTCACAAAATGCCAGCACAAACATATTCCAATGAAGGAACCATCCTGGTAAATCGGGGACCAGTTAAATAAATTGTGGTATATGCTGCATTTGAATGGGGTACTATGAAGCTGTAAAAAAAAAGAATAAGTAAGTTATTTGTGTACTAACATATGAAGATCTTCACAATATACTATTAAGTAAAAAAAGCAGGTTCAGACCAGTATGTATTATGTGTTTACTTGAGTGTAAAGGGGAGAAAAAAGTAATCTATATTTTTGTTGCTTATACATGTGATAAAGAAATTCTGGAAAGATATATAAAAATCTAGAAATAGTGGAAGCTATGGAGGATGTGGTATGAGACTAGGCAGACAGAGGGCAAAAGTAAGAGAGAGACTTTTCATAATCTCAGCTTTTTAAACTTTTGGATTTTGAAACAAGTAGATATACTGTAGTTTTAAACTTAAAAAATAAAAATTATTAGAGTAGAATCACATCTTAGGCAGTTATATTCTAAAACAAATATATATGGTAAAAAAAAAAAAAAGCATGTACAGTCAAAACTCCTTTATAAATCCCTTAAATATCAATAAAGAACAGTATGCATAGCCATATTTGTGCCTCGTATTAGAGACTTAATCCCATTTCTCAAGTCCATCACAGCCGTTTTTCTTCCTGGGTTGGAACACAAGCCATTATTTCATCTGCTGAGCACTAACTGAAATAGTTGGCTTGTGTTCAGGGGCCTTGTGGTGTAAAAAATCTTTAAAATCCAGAATCGCATTCAGCCTGGCAAGATAGCTTCACTAAGTAATGCACACCGAACTAAGCCCAAACAAAGGAACAGTTAATTCACACATCTTCCTCCTCATTTTGAAGCACATACTCTCTGGAAAGAACAAGAGAAATGATATGCACTTTTTCAATCATTATCTTTCTCTCTTTTGTAGTTGCTTTTATTGTGTACCTATTGTTGGATTTGCCTAAAGGAGACTGGTCTACATAATGATTAGACTCCATTGTGACAGGGGGAAAAAATTTTTTAAATTTAAATTTCTCAAACAACTAAAGAGACAAAAATATAAACTTCCAAAATATGACTAGTTGTCAAAATGTGCTCTACTAATTTCTTCAGAGACTATATACTGCCACAAAGATTTAAATACCATAATACAGTTTCTCAGTGACCTAGGGTTAGAACCCATGTTGCTTGTCTCCAGGTCCAAAATAAGGAGCAAACGAAAAGTGGCAGTAAGCAGGAAAATGTGGATTTTCTAAATACATAGGAATATTTTAGCCAAGAAAACAAACTATAGTTTACTTAACTGCCCCGAGCCCCATACGCATATATGTATATGTACAAATGTGTGTGTCACGAGTTTGTATGGCCAATGTGTTTATGTGAACATGCCTGTGTATATGCACATATATACACACACACATATTACATATACATACCTATTTTTCATAATAGATAAGTGCAATCCGTGAAGTAAGATTCACGGATTTTTTTTTAAATATGGAAAGTGAAACACGAAGAGATTATGTAACTTGTCCAGAAAGCCATAAATGGCAAACTGGGATTCAAACCCAGGCTAACTGGCTACTAAGTCCAAAGTCTTAGCACATTGGCTAGGAAATATTTAACACTCTATAAATGTTAGCTATGATTTTCAATGTGTTATTGCCAATGAAAATAAATATTTAAAGTTTATAAGGAAGCTAAAATAAAAGACATAAACAAACAACTCAAAACTACATTGAGAAAGGGGATGAATAACAGGTTTTCAAAATCTAAGTGCCTATTTTTCTATCCCATGATATGTCTTGCACATTATGGGGGCTAATATTCGTTCAATGTACTAATACAACATACAAGGTATACCAAGAGCATAAAATAGTAACAAAGATTGGTGTTGTGGGTTGAATTACGTCTCACAGAAAGATGCATTCAAGTCCTAACTCCCGGTACATGTGAATGTGGCTTTACTTGGAAACAGGGTAATAGGGTCTTTATAGATGTACTCATGTTAAGATACAGTCATACTGGATTAGCATGGGCTCTAATAAAAGGACTTTATAAGAAAAGGGAAATATGAACACAGAGATACACAGGGAGAACGTCATGTGACCATGCAGCTGCAAGCCAAGGAACACCAAGGATTGCAGGCAATCCCAGAAGTTAGGAGAGAGGCATGGAAACCATTCATCTTCAAGACTCCAAAAGGAACCAACCTTGCCAACACCTTGATTTCGGACTTCTAGCCTCCAGAACTGTGAGAGAATAAATGTTGTTTTAAGCCCAGTTGGTGGTAATTTGTCATGGTAGCCCTGGGAAACTGATACAACTGGTATTATGTCCAAAAAATGTAAAAAAAAGAAAATCACAAAGTTTCATTTACTCTTGTAAAGCTACCTGACAGGCATATAAAATGGTACAGCCTCTCTGGAAAATGGGCAGTTTCTCATAGAACTAAACGTGCAATTACTACATGACCCAGCAATCATATTCTTGGGCATTATCCCAGAAAAATGAAAACTTATGTTCACACAAAAATCTAAACATGAACATTCACAGCAGCTTTACTCACAATGCTCCATAACTGGAAACAACCCAAAGGTCCTTCAATGGGAGAATGGTTAAACAAACTTTCTTACGTCCACACAATTTAATATTATTCAGCAATAAAAAGGAACATTTTGTTGATATACACAGAGATCTGGACAGTCCTCAAGGGCATTATGCTTACTGAAAAAGCCAATCCCAAAAGGTCACATACTATTCTATTCTATTTATGAAACAACAAAACTACAGAAATGGAGAACAGATTAGCAGCTGCCAGAGTATAGAAATGGTAGTGGAGAGAAGGTCTGACTATAAAGGGGCAGCATGCAGGAGTTCCTTTATGGAGATGGAATAGTTCTGTAACTACCACCACAAATTTATACATGGGATCAAACTGCACAGAACTATTAACATACACACACACACACACACACACACACACACACACACACACACACACACGAGTGTATATAAAAACATAAAAATTAAATAAGGTCTGCAGTCTAGACAACAATACTATACCAGTGTAACCTTCCTGCTTTTGATATTGTATAATAATATAACATGTCACCACTGGGAAAAAGGTTCACAGATTTCTATGTACAATTTTTGCAACTTCCTCTGAGTCTGCTAATTATATCAAAATATAAAGCTTTTTTAAAAAGCCACCTGAAGAACAGAAGAAGTATAAACCACATTAAGTCAGTAGCAAAAAAGTTTTGCTTCTTACCTTTAGACTCTTTAGATAATTTGAGAGCATACTGGGATGGAATCGATTTTCTTCAGCAACTTGACTATCATATCTTGGTCCTAACATTGTCTTCAGAGGTAAGAATCTTCCTAAACAACATTAAGATAAGTAATAATTTTCATTAAAGAAAATGTTCCAGGTTAAAACCTTATAATTAGCAATTCTCAAAATCACCTTCTTAAAATATTTTAAATGGAAAAATTATCTGTAAACTCAACTGTTCATAAAGTACTCTCAATCTAAATTATATTTTTTAAAAGGTACTGCCTTGAAACTTTTAAGGACAAAGTAAATTCCAGAAATGAACAATCAAACATAACAGCAAAAGAAAAATTACCAGTGAATGCAACCTCTTAACACTACACTGAGAAGTTATTGACTTTACACTTTTAAAGATATGGTATTAGAAAAATGATAATGAAATAAATAAATTGATTGTTTAAAATTCCTGATTACAAAGTTTTTAATATGAGTTGGAACTTTCTCCATCTTATGAACCATATCCTACATCTCAGGACAAAGATCACGCGAGGATATGCTATCATGCTGAGAGGATACTAACCAAAATCACTCTCCAAACAACTATCAGTGATTATAATTTCAGCAAGAAACACTGGCTTTTTTTGATCCTTTTTTCTGAATCACAGTTTTTTGTTGTTGTTTTTTTGTGTGTGTGTGTGACCGGTAAGGGGATCCCAACCCTTGGCTTGGTGTCGTCCGCACCGCACTCAGCCAGTGAGCACACCAGCCATCCTGCGGAGGGAGCGCTGCTGCGCTCCCAGTGCCCCGCTCTCCCGAGTGAGCCACGGGGCCGGCCCCTGAATCACAGTTTAAGCACAGGGGAAGTCATCGTGTATAATCAATTTTAAAATCACCTATATTAACGGATTTATGTTTTCAAACATAATAAAATCAATAATAAGAATATCTACCTAAAATAATATCTAAGTGATATCTTAACATCTGCCCAGAGGCCTTAACCTAAATTTTATGAAAAGATCATTTTTTAAAATTTTCTACGAAACCATTCAAAGTCACCAATAACCTCCCCATGGTCAACTCTCAAGACTCACGGCCTTAACCTAAATTTTATGAAAAGATCATTTTTTAAAATTTTATTTTCTACGAAACCATTCAAAGTCACCAATAACCTCCCCATGGTCAACTCTCAAGACTCACCTAACTTAAGCTCTCAACAACATATGAAACAACTAATCACTTTCTTATTCAAGAGGAAGCTCTTAAATCAATCACATTCTTCACTTGGCTTCCAGGATACTACCTCCTTCAGGTTTTCCTCCTACTCTGTCCTCTCCTTAAGTCTCCTTTACTGGTTACTCATCATCTCCTTGACCCCTCTACGTTTTGTCTCAGGGCTCAGCCCTTAGACCCTTTTACTACGTGTAACCACTCCCTGGGTGTCTTATCCTGTCTCATGGCTCTAAAAGCCATCAATGTGCTGATGACTTATAAATTTATATCTCCAGTCCAAACCTCTCCCTTAATTCTGGACTCAGATATCAAACAGCCTACCTGACTTAGTCTCTTTGTCAAACAGACATCTCAGATTTGATAACCAAATGTGAGCTCTCAATACTCAAACCCCAAAAGCTGTCCCTCTCATGGTCTCCCCATCTCAGCAATTAGTAACACCATTCTTTTAGTAGCTCAGGTCAAAACCTTTGGAGTTATTCTTGACTCCTCTCTTTCTCTCAACCTCCATATCCAATCCATGAGCATATCCTGTCAGATCTACCTTTGAATTAAAATAAGAATCTCACCATTTCTTAACACCTCCACCGTCTACTTACCTAGATTATTATACTTTATTTGGCTTACTTAACAGATATTTAATGAGTGACTACTACATTTCAGGCATTGCTCTAGGTACATGGAATACAATAATGAAAAGGAAAAAACAAACAGGAAAAAAAAAAAAAAACCTGCTCTCATAGAGCTTACATTCTATTGAGCAAAGATAGACTATAAACAAAAAACATAATAAGTAAGTAAATACGATATGTAAGAAGATTCATCCCATTAGAACTTCTCTCCTTGTCACTGTTGTCTCAGAGGTCCAACCCCATTTCCATCAGCTCCTTCAGGCTTCACTTTGCTTCTTATATAGGTGATCATAATTATCGGTCCCCAGTAAATTCCCTTAACTTCCTTGCTCCACCCCCATTACTCAATCACACTAGCCTGAGAAAAATCTAAACCTCAATGAACCCAAACACCTGACTACTTTGTGCCTACACCAATGTAGCTGAGGGCTCCTAGAGAAAAACCTCACAGCACAGCAAATGGGTGACACTATAAATCATAAACACCAATCTCAAAGGCAATCCTACCACATACCACTAACTATCCTCTATGACAAATAACTGTTTCGTATCTTTTCATTCCTAAAATATACCAACCTTCCACACCCTCTTTTCAACTGACACCTTTACATTATACCTCATTGAAAAGAAAAGAAGTCACAATAAAAAAAACCTAAATTCATATAATGTTTACCACATGCACATGCCAGCCATGTTTAAAATATTTTAAATAATTAGTTCATTTACTCCTAACAATAAGTACTGTTATTATCCCCATTTTACAAATGGGGAAACCAAGGGCAAGAGAGATTAAGTAACTTGCCAGATGTCACAGGGCTAGTACATGGTAAAACAGGGGTTCAAACCAACATACGTAGATCTAGAATCCATGCATTTAACTGCTATTCAACAGCACCTCTCAACCATCAGGCAGAAACTAGCTTCTCTTTGCAATTAATCTATAAACCTTTCTGTACCTGAGCTCATCCTCTTCCTCCCATTCCTTCTGCTCTGAATTCCCTTCCAGAATCCAGATGGTGCTTTTCAAAAACCATCAACCAAATCTTCCTTCCTACCCTACCCTCAAACATCTTAAGCATCTTGGACATCTGCTGGTTCGTTCCCATCAGCATTTAAACAAGCCCTAAACTCTCCTTTATCAACCTCCAACTTATGCTTCATTTTTACTCCTCTTCATAGCCAAACATTTTTTAAAAGTTTGATACACATGATTCTATCTTTACTTCCTCACGTCCAGTTCACTTATGTGTACATGTGTGGACAAAAATGTAATGACTTTGCTTCTCTATGACTGTACATAATTTAGGTTTTTTTTTTTTTTCCTTTTTGTCTTTTTTCGTGACCAGCAACGGATCGCAACCCTCAGTGTCGCGCCCGTACTGGACCAGGACCGGCAACGGGATCACAACCCTCGGTGTTGCACCCGCACCTCGCTCAGCCAGTGAGCGGCCGGTCTGTATGTGGGATCCGAACCCTCGGCGGGAGCGCCACCGCGCTCCCAAGCGGCGCACTGTAGCAGTGCGCCACCGGGCCGGCCCCATAATTTAGGTTTTGAGCTCCCATTCAAGATAGCCTACAGTCAAATCAGAATTCTCCTCCCCCACCTCCCCTTCTGATCCCCTCCACCTAGAGGTGATTATATTCCTGGAAGATAGAGACTCTGGCATCAAGGAGGGGTACAACTGCTATTTTGTACACCATCTTTTGTCCTCTCTGTCTTCTAGCAAACTGAACACATTGCACCTGGTCTTTGGACATTGTTAACTTCCATCCCAGCAGCATCTGCTGACTAAAGTCCATCCATAGCCTTGGCAGATGTGTCAATGAAGGTTATCCTACATTTTCCATGTTTCAACCCCAGCCTCCTCTTCAGGTCAGGTGGCCACTCTCAAGTCACTTCTGATCATACCTTATGTAGCCACTGAAACTTTTGGCCACTCTATCCCTACCCAAAGGGTGGGAATTAGACTCTTAGGTAGGTCTCAAAGCCATGCCCCCTCAGCAATCCATTACAATTCTCTAAGAGACTTGCAGCCAAGTAAGTTTTCAATACATTCCCATCTGGCTTCTAACCCCACATTTTCACTGAAAATACTTGTCACTGTCACCAACAACTTCCAACTTGTTACCAACTTTTCTAGTATCGTAATATCTCAGCAGTATTTCATGTATCTGACAACTCCTTCCCTCTTAAAAAACTCTCGTCTACACTGACACTAGATTCTTGTAGTTTCTACCACCCACATAATCCTACCCCCAATTTCTAGCTATTCTTCCTCAACTCTTTGTTCTCTCTTTTATCTTCTACGCAACTTATAAATGCCAGATTCCTGAGTTTCATCCTGGGCTTTTCCTCTACTCTCTCTACAACTCTCTACTTGAAAGATCTTATCCACCGCCATGGTAGAAATGATGGTATCTGTTGACCAAATTCCACTCATTTTCTTCTTTTTTAGGGCACATAGAAAGACTACATTTCTCAGCTTCTCTTGTAGTTGGGTAAGGGCCATGTGACTGAATCCTGGCAATGGGGTATGGGCAGGACTGAGCTGTTCCACTACCAAGGCTGGCCATAAAACTCCTTAAGAGATCACTCATTCCTGCTCTGCCTCTTTTCTTCCCCAACCTCAAGCAAAGAATTAGGTTTATTACCTAATAATATCCTATCATATTCTATAATAGACTCATTACTGCATTTGTTAAAACAAAACTGTTTAAAGTTGACAGTTCGCAGGGCTGGATGATTATCTCAGTTGGTTAGAGCTCAGCCTTGTAACACCAAGGTCATGGGTTCAGATCCCTATATGGGCCTGCTGCCAAAAAAAAAGAAAATTAAAGAAAATAGATGAATAGGTTTTAAAAATAAAAAATAAAATTGATGGTTTGCTACTCCCATGAAACTACATGCTTTTTAAGGTTAGGTACTATATCTTAGTCATCTCCCTAGCCCCAAGGACTAGCACAAAGTAGACACTCAAATATTTGCTAAGTAAAATGACTTCAAAGTCACTATGACAAGACTGTGTCTTTTTTTTTTTGGTCGCTGGCCATATGAGGATCTGAACCCTTGACCTTGGTGTTACAACACCACACTCTGACTGAGTAACCGGCTAGCCCAAGTGTCTGATATTTATATTCCCACAGTTCCTAGTAAGTAGTTTTTTGTTTTTTGGTTTTTTGGCAGGTAGCTGGTAAGGACTCTTGACTTTGGTGTTATCAGCACCACACTCCAACCAAGTGAGCTAACAGGCCACTGCCTCTAGTAAGTTCTTTACATATAGTAGGCAAGAAATAATTTTATGTTAAATGACATACCTTTAAGAAATGAGAAATTTGTTTCCTTCAAAGTGAAATCTACCACTCAGAAGAAGAAAAAAAGAATTCTTTAGAAATAAAGCTGGCCCTATCTCCAGGAGCTCCCTCTCATTGCAAGTCTAGTCTAATTAGACAAGGTGACTTCAGAGGGTAACAGATTATATACAGTTAGTACTATTTTCAGGAAAATTATGAACTTCTAATACTAGTAAAATGCATCCTAATGTTTACGATAAAAAAAATTTGAGGAGCCATAACACATTTTCCTCAACATACAAATATCAAAGGAATTATATAATAAGCATGGATTACTTTTATAATCAGAAAAAAAATACAGGAAGAAAACAGAAAGTAGAAAATGGGAATGTGTATGATTCCTTATTTCTCACTAAAGCCCTGCTACTATAAAACACTGCTAATCCCGCATTTCTAAAATATATAATACAGCATGAACACTTCTATGACAGAGACAGAATTTAAAGGGAAATTCAGAGAAACTTACCAAGAATTCTATATTATGTTTACTTTCCTTTCTAATAAGCATCACAAGACAAAGCAGTACTGATTACTAGCAAAGACCCGGTTTGGTTCTCAGGAGGCCTGGGGTTTTCTGTTCAGGGACCACAGTTAATGAGATAGGTAAGCTTAGTGACTCAATCACAATAATTAAGCCTAGCTTTTGGGGGCCAAAATATTCCAACAGAATAAAAAGGAAAAACATTTTATTCCTGGCTCTCCTAGTTCCCAGCAGAGTGCAGGGGAAAAAAAGCACACAACTCCATTTCTCAGAGAGGTATAAAGCTGCCTGGAGCTTAGCACCTCTCTTGCTGCTATCTACCCTCAGTTAGTGCCACATTTGTCCCATTCATCTAGCAATAAGTCAGTATTCTGGTATTTGTCTGTGCCATCTTGCAGATCTTATATTAAAATTCTGATTTTTAAAAAGTTCTGATTTTTAAACTGTTTTTCTAATTTCCAAATTAAAAAATGTTCACTTTGATAAGAACTTCTGTATGATTTTGTTTTCCTCACAAATCAGTGTAGCAGATAAACTGAACTCAGGGATCCAGGAAACATGCTCCAGGCTAGAAAAGAAGCCAGACATCTAAGTTTAAGGGTTTCTTCATAACTCCATAGAGAAATCCACATGTAAGAAAGGATTATATATTAAGTTAGAGATGGTACAGAAAACAAAATCAAAATGGCTGAAGAGTAAGACCTATAAAGAAAAATGTAAAGAACTGTGATCAATTTGTTCAAAGAAGAAAGAACAATGATTATCAAGTAAAATTATTTTGATTACAACTGAATATGCATATAAAAATGTTTAGAACATAAAGAAAACTTCATTGTTCTTAAAGAAAAGATTCCCTCACACTAAGAGTTGCTTACATTATCTTTCATTATCACTTTTATCCATTGTTTATATGGCTTTATTAACTGGAGATTTTATATAAAATGTGAAGAGAAGCTGACAAACTAGAAAAATCAGAAAACCTGAACCAAAAGTGACTACAGAATCTCCTCTTCTGATAATTTTAAATTATTAGGCAGACATACTGTAAATATGTACATAATTAGTAAATATTCACAGCTGACTAGAAAATCCTTTAATTTTTGTTTTAAAACTACCTTCTAAAAAAAAAGCAATAAATTGAAGTTAGTTAAAATTTAAAATTTTCGGGCCGGCCCGTGGCTCACTCGGTAGAGTGCGGTGCTGATAACACCAAGGCCCTGGGTTCGGATCCCATATAGGGATGGCCGGTTCGCTCACTGGCTGAGCGTGGTGCTGACAACACCAAGTCAAGGGTTGAGATCCCCTTACCGGTCATCTTTAAAAAAAAAAAAAAAAATTTAAAATTTTCACTCTTGAAAAGAAAACTTTTAAAAGAATGAAGACAAGCCACAGACTGGAGAAAAGATTTACAAAAGCATATATTCAAAGGACTTGTATTTACAATATATAAAGAACTCTAACAACTCAAATAAACCCAATTTAAAAATCAGCAAAAGGGCCGGCCCGTGGCTCACTCGGGAGAGTGCAGTGCTGATAACACCTAGGCCCCCGGTTTGGATCCCATATAGGGATGGCCGGTTCGCTCACTGGCTGAGCGTGGTGCTGACAACACCAAGTCAAGGGTTAAGATCCCCTTACCAATCATCTTTAAAGAAAAAAAAAATCAGCAAAAGATTTGGACACTTCACAAAAGAAGGTATATGAATAGCCAAGAAGCACATGAAAAGATGCTCGACATCAAACCAAAATAAGATATTACTACACGTCTATTATAAGGGCTAAAATTAAAAAGACTGATCATACCAAGTGTTGGAGAGGATGTGGAGCAAACGGAACTCATACAATGATGGTGGGAATGTAAAACGTCACCACTTTGGAAAAGTGGTTGGCTGTTTCTTGAAAGTTAAACATACATCTACCATATGATCGATCCAGCCATTCCTCTCCTAGAGATTTTACGCAGAGAAATGAAAGCATACGTCCATACAAAGAACTGTACATGAATGTTCATAGAAGGTTATTTGTAAGAGCCAAAAACTGGAAACAACTCAAACGATAGTCAATAGATGAATGGATAAACAAATTATGGTGTACCCATAACAATGGGAAACTACTCAGCAATAAAAAGGAATGAACTACTGATACATGCAACAATCTTGATGAGTCTCAAAATAACTGTGCTAAGAAGCCAGATACACACACCCCCAAAAAGAGTACATACTGTATGTTTCCATTTATTAAAAAATTTTTAGGGCCGGCCCGTGGCTCACTCGGGAGAGTGCGGTGCTGATAACACCAAGGCCCCGGGTTCGGATCCCATATAGGGATGGCCGGTTCACTCACTGGCTGAGTGTGGTGCTGACAACACCAAGTCAAGGGTTAAGATCCCCTTACCGGTCATCTTTAAAAAAAAAAAAAAAAAAAAATTTTAGAAAATGCAAACTGACCTATAGCAACAGAAAGCACATCAGAGGTTGCCTGAGGGAGGGATTACAAGGGTCAGGAGGAAACCTGAGGGGGTATGGTTTTCATGGGTGTCTCCTAGGATATAAATATGTGTGTGTAGACAAAATTTATCAAACTGTACATTTCAAAGTTTACTTTATGTCAAACTCAATAAAGATGAAAATCCACAATAAAAGTCATTTAAAAATCAAAAACAAAAATCCTCCAGATTCCCAATCTCGGTGTCGACCCATTTCACCGCTGAAAACCGCCCCTCCTCTCCTTAGCCCTCCATCTCAAGACCGATACTCCCCGCTTCTTCCGAGAGAAAGGCTGAACCCTAAAAGGTTCACAAACTTCTAACTAAGCTTCAAAGTACTACCCACCGTATTCCTGGGTCTTAGCTCCTGTCACAAAAACCTCCTAGCTTCCCGTTTGCAATACTTAGCCTTAGAGGCATAGTGACAAGTGCCCCCAATCCGCCGACCCACCCCCTCCCGTCCATGTTCCCAAACATTCATCCACAAAGCTTCATCCGACCGAGTACATCTCGGTCCTGAAATACCACTAACGGGCACGGAATCACCGAAAGCTGCTCTCCTCAGTCTGCCCACCCCGGGGCCCGTCGGAGTGCGGGGATTCGAACACCCCCTCCACCCAGGTTACCTGCCACCGGCTGGCCGCGCCGCGGACAGTTTAGCCACCGCGGCGGGATCTTGTTGTGAGCCATGTCTCGGCGTCGCGCAGAACCGCGCTCACAGCCAACGCTCGCACCACCTCTGCCGCAGCCTCTTCGCGGTCCAGTCCGCACCGGAGGTGCACGGCACCCGAATCCCGGCCGGGATCCCAGTCCCAGCCGCTCCTATCCGGGTAACGTCAGGGGCGGCGCGCCACTTTCATTCAGGATCAACTCCTCAGCTCTAGAGAGCCCACAATGCACCGCGATTTCCGCCCCCAAAGGCCCCGCCCCCTTCTTTCCGAGGTCAGAGGGGAAGAAAAGGAAGCTGGGCAGAGGGATAGCTAGGAGTTAAGGCCAAGGCGAATGGGAGGGGCGGGTCTTCCCTCGTCCCGCCCCGCCGAGATTCCGGCGCGCGCCTAGTTCGCCTCTGCGCGTGCGCAACTGCCCTCTTACCAGACGTGGCTGGGAGACGGATATCTTCTTTTCCCATCTATACAACTGAGAGAAACCCAAAAGAATGGGAGGAAGTCAAGCCTCTTTCCACGCGCTTTCATAAAGGCATCTGTTTTACTGATGAAAAGGGCCTTCCCACCGCTATCACAGCTCAGGCTTGGCGTCCGGAAATATCTCCCTAACAAGGTTCAGGGGAACAAGTTTAGAGAAATTCTACGGGCAAGAGATTGGAGCACCAGAAATGAAGACTTTCTCTTTGGGAGATTCATCTGAGGATCTATGAAGCGTCTGAAATTAATTTCAAAACATTTTAAGAGTTTGGTTTGTACATTTCTTTTTTTTTTTTTTTTAAAGATGACCGGTAAGGGGATCTTAACCCTTGACTTGGTGTCAGCACCACGCTCAGCCAGTGAGCAAACCGGCCATCTGTATATGGGATCCGAACCCGTGGCCTTGGTGTTATCAGCACCGCACTCTCCCGAGTGAGCCACAGGCCGGCCCTGGTTTGTACATTTCTGAAGCAAAGGTTCAAACCCTATTTGGGAGTCTCAAAAAGTTACTAATTAACGTATATAATTGGCAAAGGCAGGAATTGCCCAGTGGAGTGGCACTACATGGCTGTGTTCTCCTTTGCGTACCAAATAAACGGACCCTTTTAGTTTCCCTTCTAGTTAAGCGGAGGTGCTTGGAAGCATTATATAAATGCCGTCCCGTGATGACACTTTGTTTAGGTACCAGACTACATTAAAGTATTAAATATAAAGGTGGATGATAGTAATTAATTATAATGTAGCAGTTTGACTTTAAGCGCCAATGCTATATTCCAACTACAAGCGTGTGAGGCTGCAGGGATTATATTTTTAAAGGATCAGAGGGGAACTTCCTGGGCAACTCTGCCCTTGAATGCCTGGACCTTCTCAGTAAAAGTCTCATAGAGAGGGCCCGATTGCTCTCTCTCTGAAGCAGCCTGAGTTAGGTCACTTCTCCTGGCCTGTCCCACTGTTACATCTGCTTGGACCTTTTAGGGAAGTGTCACCCCTCCCCTGAGAGGACAAGATAAGACCCAGTTTTCTTACAGACCAGCAGTCTGCCCAAATGGTGCCAAATTAATAACCTTCTCTGCTGACGAGGTAAAGTGTGTACTATGCCCAGAATGGCGAACTGTTTGATCTCCAAACCCTGTTCAAGGATGGGAAAGGTATTTTATCCGGAACAATATTTCACCTTCTTCTAAGGACGTACTTCCCTTGGAGACTGTCCTTCCCAAACACATTGTGTCCACCCAGGGATCTCAGTCCTAGGCTCAGAGAGAGCTTCATACCTGTGATGAGTAGCTGTTATTAGCTGTAAGGCAGCAATGTGCTTAAATTTTACTTCACTATCCCCTTTTGCCTTCTCCATCCTCAGTGCCACAGATTAGGAGGACTCTGTGGCTCCGCCTGCAGTAGAGGGTAGAGCAGGAGAGTGGCATCCAAGTGAGTGGGCAATTTCTCTCTTTCTACCAGGAATCCCTTGCCTGATGGGTGTATCTCCTATATCCGGGTCTCTGCTATTCACGAAGAAGAAAAATAGATGCCCACAGAGGGAAAAACATGGCTCCTCTCTGTTAGGCAATTATGTTTTAGCCATGTCTAAGATGGCAGCGGTTGGATGGGAGGAACACCCAAAATGGCTGCAGAGAGTTTCAGGTCCCTAGAACAGCACGTTTTGCGAGAATCACAAAAACCCCTCCCTCTTCTTCCTCACCACCCCATCCCCTTCCCGCAGGTGTGAATTTCTCCACCTATAGAAAAATCCCAGCTCAGCTTAAACCCCGCTCGCTTCCCTCCCCTTCCTTCTTAGCCAATAGGAACAGTCCAGCTCAACCTAACTGGATATAAAAGGCCCAGCCGACTCCCCCTGCTGCTGCACCCACTTCCAAGAGGGCAGCCCACGTGTTCATTATGCCTGCCTAATACACTTTGGTTGAGTCCCTGTCTCCTGGTGTGTTTATTTTGCGCTCAGGCCGGGGTTTTTTTTCCTTTCACTCCCTGGCTTCTTGGAACCCCAACTCACCTTTCCAAATATGTCTTGGTCTTCTCTTAATTGGCTGTAGATTTTCTTCTTGGGTGAATTTGATACTGGGCATAGGTCTGGCTGCTTGCACCCTTTTAAAAACAAACCACTCAAAAGTCAAATGTTGGTGAAAATGGAAGTCAGTTTTTATTCAGGAACACCAGTGACCTGAGGAGAAATGTTAGGCTAACCATCTCTCCGGTAAATCTGAAGGAGAATGGCCAGACCACAGCCTTCTCAAAGACTCAGATTTACTGAGGGGTTTTTTAAAGAGGGGGCTGAGGGAATGGAAAGTGGGAAGTGAAAAGCAGGAGGGAGGGAGACATGAGGTACTGGGGCTTCATGCAAGGATCCAGGTGCAAGGTCTCACCAAGACTCTGGTTTCTGCTCATGTCTTTGCTGTTATCTCAGAGTCCTGCTGGAGGGGTGGAATCAGCTAGCTTTACTGATTGATGTCTTCTTTGGTTTCTCAGGGTCTGGATAGTATGTACAAGTCAGCAAGTTTGCAGCTTCAGGCTGGCTGGAAAATAAGTTTACATGTATGTAAACTATCTCATCTTGCCCCATAACCAAGGTTCAAAATATCAAAGAACCATGGGAAAAGAGGGAACTCAGAGTAGTGCATGCTAAGAAAAAAACTGCATCCTTTTAAAATCTTTTAGAGCCCATGCAGTTTAAGGTCCCAACATGGCTTCAGTCCTGCTCACTCCAACAAATTCTTCCATGAAACATCCAATTCACCCATAAGGAAGAGCATATAAGGGTAATTAAAAATAAGATTGAGGGCCGGCCCGGTGGCTCACTGCTACAATGCGCCGCTTGGGAGTGCAGCGACGCTCCCGCCGAGGGTTCGGATCCCACATACAGACCGGCCGCTCACTGGCTGAGCGAGGTGCGGGCGCAACACCGAGGGTTGCGATCCCGTTGCCGGTCCCGGTCCGGTACAGGCGCGACACTGAGGGTTGCGATCCGTTGCCGGTCACAGAAAAAAGACAAAAAGGAAAAAAAAAAAAATAAGATTGAACTTTACCTGTTGGCAAAAGGGAAAGACCTTTTACCCTTCCCTTTTCTTAGAGCATTTCCTTGAGAAAACTTGTACAGTTATGCACCACACTATGATGTTTTGGTCGACGGTGGACCAGTATACAATGGTGGTCCTATAAGATTATAATACTTCACAACTTTCTTGGAGTAAAAAGGAGTGTTATAATTGCCTACAGTATTCAGCACAGTAACATTCTGTATAGGTTTGTAGCCTAGGAACCAAGGCTACACCGTATAGCCTAGGTGTGTAGTAGGCTATATCATCTAGGTTTGTGTAAGTACTCTGATGTTCACACAAGAAATAGCTTAAGGAGGCATGTATTGGAAGTGTCCCTGTCTTAAGTGATATATGACTGTATTTGTAAATTCTTCCTCTTCACTTTGAGATATATATATATATATATAAACTCTTTTTAAAAGTTAAATGAGCCTCTTGCCTGCCTTACAACCCAGGAATGTCTTTCTTAGAGCCTGGGAGGCATCTCTTTGAAATGTAAACAGCAAGGAAGATAGTGCCCCTTTCTCCCTGCCACCTTGTTAATCTAGACTTAATCTAAGGCATCTTGTTCTCAGCTGTAACTCCCTGCTTGTGTTAGAGATAGTTTTGCTTTTCTTTCAGATAGCAGCAATTAACTAACACAGATGACCACTGTGAAAAACCAAGTGAACCTAGGACGAATTATGAAGAAGTGTATAGCACATGGTACTGCCTAGTCCTCTTACATGAGGACAAGTTATCATTTATCTTGAGTACAGGTATGTAATGGATTGTATTTGCTTTGATATATACAAGAAATTTCTTTCTCTCTTTGCATTCTCATTAGCGGGTTGCCTGTGATGCGTATCATAGTCTGGTTATTCAATAATAAAACTTCCTTTTCTCCATTTGTGGAGTGGATTTTCTGGATTGACAGGAGATTTTATTCCTAATCTTTTCCACAACAGGTGTTTATGCCTCACTGAGCTATTGAAGACTACTGCAAAAAAGTGCCTGCTCTGAGACTGAGCAACGCTGTCTCGAGCCTTTCTGTGGAGTTCAGTCTCCTGCTCCGTGCATCTCCAAGAACAGTTGACTGGGTGCCGAACCTGTTTATTCTGACAGCTAGCTCTCCAGGGTGTCTGGAAAGATGCTCCCATCTGGCTTTCCAAAAGTCAGCGAAGTTTCATCAAGGGACATTAGCTTTTTTGATGAATCCTTATCTTCCCTAGCTGGCAGGGACTAAGATGGTGCCATCTGTGCCTAGCTCCCTTTGTCATACCAGTGACCCACCACCTCCACATCCAGCCTGTACTGTACCAGCTTCAGTAGATGCGAGAAGTTCAGAAGAAGATCATGTTGGGTTAAGTTTGGAGCCAAAGAAGAACGTAGAGTCACATCTCACACACAGGTTAGGTTCTAAACTCAGGGTTTCAGGCAAAAGAAGACAAACTCATAATTACCCTCTATTGTTGCTTCCTCATTTGAGCACCAACTGAAGTCCTTGACTGGCATTTAGGGCCATGATGTACAAAAAAACAGCAATCTTCAGACAACAGAATCACACTTTGTGCAGCCAGTTGCTCCTCTCCAAGAGGTGTTGGTTCACATCTTACACCAGGGCATAGGTTCAGGGAACAAAATAATAAGCAGCCTCTCTCTCTTGCATGCCTGTGCTGGTACAGGTAAACTCATATGAGTTAAATGGAAGTACGATATTGCTTCATTGTAGCCACCTGCCAACAGCTATTCTAATGTTGTAAACCAAAAGAGGATTTACTGTGAGGCTTCTTACTTGCACAAGCTTCTTCCAAGGCCTGGTTAGATATTTGTAATTTTATATCCTCAGTCTTATAGTCTCAATCCCCAACCTGTTATGGGTTGAATTGTGTCCACCACAAAAGATATGTTGAAGTCCTAACCGCTAGTACTTCGGAATTTGATCTTGTTTGGAAATAGGGTCTGTGTAGTGGTAATCAAGTTAAAATAAGGCCATTAAGGTGGGCACTAATTCAATATGAATGGTGTCTTATAAAAAGGGGAAATTTAGACTTAGAGACAGACACACAGAGGGAAGATGATGTAAAGACACGCAGGAGAAGACAACCCAGTGACTGGAATGAAGCATCTACAAGTCAAAGAACACCAAGGATGCTGGCAGCACCAGATGCTAGAAGAGAGAAAGAAGGATTCTCCCCTAGAGCTGTCAGAGAGAGCATGGCCCTGCTGCTACCTTGATTTCAGACTTCTTATCTCCAAAACTGTGAGACAATACATTTCTATTTTTTTAAGCCACCCAGTTTTGGGTACTTTTTTATGCCAGCCCTAGGAAACTAATGTAAGGCCCCACAAAACCTGGATCTGCCCCTGTTCTAATGCATGCTTTCTGGTTCTAAAGCTCCTTGAGCCAGTGTTCTCTGAACCAAAGACTGTAACCTTAGTATAAATGCAGTCAACTTTCCCCAAGTTCTTTTTTTTTTATTGAAACATAATTGATTGTACATATTTCTTGAATGCAGAATTGAATATCAATACCTATGTACAATATGTGATGATCAAATCAGGATAATTAGTACATTTATCATTACAAAACATAATCATTCTTTATGAACCTTTACCAGTTTCTTGCTGACCTCCCTCCTCCTCCCACCAAGTTCTTTTAAAGAGAAATTTACCTGGTACATTCTTGGGCTTTTCATGCCCAAAAGTCTACTCTAAATTCGGCCACAAATACTGAGTCACCATTTACTTTAAGAACATCGAGGTCTAAAAAGAAAAGAAAAAAAAAAACGGGGAGGCAGGGGGAAGAAGATATAACAACTACAATTACTTGAAGTTGATACGACAAGCAAACAGAAAGGACATTGTTGGATGGGAGGGAGGAGAGGGAGGAGAGAGGGAGGTTTTGGTAAGGGGCAACAATAATCAACCACAATGTATATCGACAAAATAAAATCTTTTTAAAAAATTTTAGGGGCTGGCCCAGTGGCGCACTGCTACAGTGCACCGCTTGGGAGCGCGGTGGCACTCCCGCCGAGGGTTTTAGGGGCCGGCCCAGTGGCGCACTGCTACAGTGCACCGCTTGGGAGCGCGGTGGCACTCCCGCCGAGGGTTTTAGGGGCCGGCCCAGTGGCGCACTGCTACAGTGCACCGCTTGGGAGC